ACACCAAGAAACTAGGGTAATACTGAGAAACTAGAGTATATATTAAAAAATCAAAGAAATTAGAGTAATGCCAAGAAATTAGAGCAACATCAAGAAACTAGAGTATATATCAAACAATCAAAGAAATTAGAGTAATGCCAAGAAATCAGAGCAACACCAAGAAGTCAAATTAACAAGATACTAGAGCAACACCAAAAAACTAGAGCATTACCAAGAAACTAGAGTATTACTAAGAAATCAAAGCATTACCAAAAAACTAGAACGACACCAAGACGTTAGAACAACACCAAGAAACTAGGGCGATACCAAGAAACTAGAGTATATATCAAAAAATCAAAATTAGAGTAATGCTAAGAAATCAGAGCAACATCAAAAAACTAGAGTATATATCAAAAAATCAAAGAAATTAAAGTAATGCCAAGAAATCAGAGCAACACCAAGAAGTCAAATTAATACCAAGAAACTAGAGTATTACTAAAAAATCAAAGCGTTACCAAGAAACTAGAACACCAAGAAGTTAAAACGACACTAAGAAACTAGAACAATACTGAAAAACTAGAGTATATATCAAAAAATCAAAGAAATAGAGTAACGCCAAGAAATCAGAGCAACACTAAGAAATCCAAGAAATCAAAGCAACACAAGAAACTAGAACAATGCTAAGAAAACAAAGCGTTAACAAACAACTAGAGCGACTTCAAGAAATCAGATCAATATCAGAAATCAGATCAAGCTAGACAAGCTAGAGCGATTATAGCAACCCAAAAAATCAGAGCAACACCAAGAAACTGGAGCGACAAGAAATCAGAGCAGCACCAAGAAATTAGAATGACACTAAGAAATAAGAGTGACATTAAGAAATTGGAAAAACAGACGCTAATAAATAGAAAAAAAAAAAGTTTGTTTAGAATCTATTACGTAATATATACGTAATGTGCTGATCAAAACTTAAGCGATAAAATGTGTATATTATTTATGAATAAACTATATCGATATACTTACAGACTGGTAATTTAATATGTAAGTGAAATAACAGAGAGGTAATATTTAATAGAAATTCTATTGACGATAAAATATGTATATTATTTTATGAATAAACTATATACTTACGAACTGGTAATTTAACACACAAATGAAATAGAGAATTCAATTGACGATAAAATATGTATATTATTTTATGAAACATAAATGAAAGAGCAGAGAAGTAATATTTTAGAGAGAATTCAATTGACTTAAGCAAAAATATCTAAAGCAATATTTTTTTCATAGCTAGGATTTATATATTTATAATTATTTAAATAATGATATGCAAGATTCTCTTTGGGCTATGAATTGTATATCTAACTGTTTAATATTTTAAGTAATGCATTGTAAAGAAGTTTATATTTTGCTTATTGACTCAAAAGGTCTCTAACTGGTAGTGATTTCACTATGCCAAGTTTTGTTGGAATTTTCAAGTCGATTGTATACTCATCACAATCTTGAATCGCGATTCGTGTATCTTCTTCATTTGCCGTAGCAATAACCACAGCCTCGACTGCCTTAAGTACAAAGATGCCGAGCTTGTTGAGCATTAATAAGTCTTTTTTTAGTGCCATCAGATCAGTGCATTTTAAGTGTAGCTGTAGTGTTTCTTTCCATATATCATCACTAATAAACGTAGATAATCCACTATATAGCGATTCAACCTCCCTAAAATTATCATTTTAATTATTATGTATATATCGATATATAGGAACCCCCACGGCAAAAAGAGGCATTGGGCCAAAAATTTTGATTTTGTAATTTTATAAAAATCATATGCCCATTACTTTAATTCTTCGAGAAATTGCATTTTTTTTAAAAAAAATTTTTTTTGCCCAATGCCACTTTTTGCTGTGGGGGTCTCCATATATTAAACCCTTACATACTAATAAGTATTGACGCATTTACTAATTATGGGTTAAGGTAAACTGATCTGCAAGTTTTGAAACCGATCTATGAAAATTACAGTGGTAGGAGTTGTACCAGGAACCTACATCCTTAAACAATGCTGGCATGCAATAATCGGTTTTTGAAATTTTACACACTTGAGAGATTAACTCCTCATACAACTCAGTTGTATTGTTCCTTGTACGAAGGAAGAGTGCTTTGCACTCTTCCTGTAAAAGGAATTTTGTGTGCTGAAATTGAAGCATATACTTAAGTCTTTGCCACATACTAATAATTATAGATCAAAATTAAATCTGATTAAAAAAATTTACCTGGTTAATTTCTGGACATGATTGACCAATATTAATTTCCAGAGCATTTAATAAAGAGTTAAACGATTGATTATTGTTCGATACTTGAGTATCTAGAATTCTGTGGCGTATAAATCTAAAAATACTTTACATTTTAAAAAACGAAAAATTGTGTTTATTCGCTAATTAAGGTAAATGTCTATCGCTTGCTAAAATAGGACGATACAATAACAATAAATAGACCAGTTACGTATTTTCGCGAGTAATGTAATACAACTTGAAAAAAGGAAATGCCAAGCTAACAGAAAATGTTACACGAAAGAAAAAAAGAAAGCGAAAGTACTCGAAAATTAGTATTAAAATCTACTTTGGCGTATTATTTAAAAGTAACGAAATTTTACATGGCATCTATTGCTATTACTTATACTAATGTTCTAACACTAAACTTCTATCTCTACGCACTTAATTTATTTACAATATATTTTAAAAAAATAAATTTAAATCTACAACAATTATATGATAACAATAAATATATTTGGTAAAAATCAAGGTTCTGCAAAATATGTAATACGTAGTACGTATGGTTGGGTTTAATAATTTAAAGCGTTTTTAATGCCATAAACATTCGTACCTTTTTTTAATAAATATGAAAACACAGGAGTTTGAAAAAAACAATTTCCGACCAAAAGATTCATCTTCTTCATTTTGATAAGTTTTATGACTTTAAGGAAATTGCCAAATCTAGATATGGGATTCCGGTGTTAAAATCAAAATGGAAAAAAAGAAAATTTTTAGTTGTTCATAAAAGTGTAAAAATTGATACTATCATGGATGATAAAAATTTTCAAAGTTTGATTACTGAAGTATTATCATTTTAAATCTATAATGCAAAATATTAAAT